GATAAGCAAAAGCAGAGGCCTCAGTCAGGTAAAAGCAAATAGTCCAGTTTAACATTCGGGTTTATGTGGACAGTGTTGGGAGAAGCAGTTTTTGGTTTTGTTTGGGGTTTTGTTTTATAGAGATGGGGTCTTTCTCTGTTGCCCAGGCTGGAGTGCAGTGACTATTCAGAGGCCCAATCATAGCACACTATAGCCTTGAACTCTTGGGCTCACGTGATCCTCCCACCTTAGCCTCACAAGCAGCTAGGACTACAGGTATGTGCCACTGCACCCAGCAGGGAGAAGCAGTTTAAAAGCAGATGAGGAGTTGTATGTTTTTTCCTCAATGATATTAACTAAAAAGAATGTAATACTGCAAACAACCATTTATTTGCCTTAACTGTCATTCAAAGTTATCCTAATGTCATGGTTATCTGATAACTAGGCCAACATCTCATCTGAAAAAATGGGTGAACAAATATTTTCCTCACGCTCTCTACTCCTGGCGATCAATTTGTTTTTATATGGTTCCAGGATTTGGATGGATACTGAAAAAGTCCAAGAGGTTTCATTCAAGTTTTCACAGAAGCCTTGGGAGGTCCAGGGTAACCCCTAAAAATATTTAGGGGAAAAAGGCTGGTTGTGGAGTTATCATGGTGGTGCTGCCTTGCTTTCAAGCTGAAACCAACTGGTCAACAGAGCTGTGGATTTAATTAAGACCCTCTCTGGAGTTCTGGGCTAGTCCATACATCCAAACACTGGTAACAGTTCACCATAAATTATTTGCACCTTTATTTACCTTTGTTAATCTCCCCTCTCTAACCACCTGACCAGCCTCAAGTCCAGGTGAACATTTTGAAGAAAAGTGTCCTTAAAATGTGAACTTCAAATGGCTAGTCTGCATAGTTAAAATACAACCTCATGGTATAATAAAAGTGCTAATGGCCTATGTCAAAGGATTTATTTAGCAGCCCATCAGATTCTGAGTGATTCTAAGTTCCACTCAGGCTATCAGTTCAACTAACATCGCTAAACTCTGACAAAAAATACTATCTTAATAACCCAAGACTAATGAAATGGTATATTGATAAAAGTATGTTTGGGTGATTATGTATGAACCATTCTAAATTTGCTCCAGGCCACATAGTGAACGCTCAGATTAGCAACTGATGGGCCTACAAGGATCTCAGGTTCATTAGCAAACGTACTATACCATATAGTGCCTTAATTTAGGAATCAGAATAGAATTCAAGTCTTAGTTACTAGTCCTAGTAGTAGCCTTTATAAACTATTCCCTCATTATATCTACACTTTCATAAGATTGCTTTGAGGATAAAGTGAGAGCACGGAAGTAAAAGAACTCTGGTAACCACAGCACTACGCAAACAGGGCTGCGGGTGTAAGCATACCAGGGTGAGATAGGCCCGTGGTGCATGACATGAGTCAAATGAGTTGAATCAGGCAGCATCTTCAGGGAAGGGAAGGTTCCTTGAAGTGATTATAATCCTCCTCTGAATCACATCAGTAGAAAACCCAATATCTGCCTGAAGCTGAATACATAAAAATTCTCTAAAGATATGTGTCTCTAGAGTAGTAAGCTTGAAAAGGGAAGATTTGGGGGCCTAGGATTTTCTTGTAAGAATGAGTTTGAGCTATAGAATTTGGAGGACTAAAACAGGACAAGGTAGATAAGAGCCTACAGCAAGGACAGAGCAAAGGCTGCAACTAAAGCCAGCTAAGACGCAAATATAGAACTCATCTCCCCAGAGTTCTCAACTAGGCTATCTGTATTACATCCTCCTCCAAGAAGACCACTGGCCCATGGTGCTGTTGACCTCCCTCAAATATTGGGGGAGGAGGAGTAACCTATTCCCACTGGTGCCTTTCAGACCATTTGAAGAAACAGGCCTTGTTTATTTTTACTAACTGGAAAATCTCTGGGGTGGCACAAAAAGATCAAGTTCCTAACACCTGCAGCAAAGTGTAACATGCATTTTGAACCAAAATTACTGTGACATGGGCCTGAAGTCTCTGAATATAGAAGAAACATCAAAAAGGCCACCTATTAACCACTTATGGAAGTCAACAAAGAGCAATGTAGTAGAGTAGCTACCCAGACTAGAGTCCACATGACAGCAGGCAATCAAGAAATGAAGCTCAAAGCCACACATGGCCCTTGTTTTAATATGTTTCAATTTGTTTTTTAGGCAGGAGCACAATGGGAAAGAAGGGAGATTTTATAGCTTCCTCACATATGAAATCAGGTGCATGTTAGGAAATGTGATCCCAAGAAAAAGATTAAGAAAAAAGAATGTTTGGATAGAAAAATCTCTACGGGCAGTTTAGTAATGCTTAGGCAAAGGAATGGAGCTAACATTTAACTTCCAGTGAGTTTCCTGAATTAGAGTCCAGACTGTGATAAAAAACTCTTTTGTTCTGAAATTGAAAAATATGCAAGGTATCCTCACATTTACTGAGTGCTTAAAATATTCCAAGCACTGCTGGACTAATTTAGTCCTCATAGCTACTCTGTGTGGTAGTATTATTACTGCCCATCTCTATGGATGGAGAGACCAAGGCCTAGAGACAACTAACTTGCCCAAAGTTAAAAGCCAGCTGCAGTTCAAAGCTACCCAAGTTGGCTTTAGATTGCACTGACTGCTAAGCTGAACTTACTGCCTTTTAAGTACAAAAAAGACCCTGCACATCCAGTGGCCAAGAGAACTAAAAGAAACTAATCCAAATTTTGACTACAAAGTATAAATAAAGGCTAAACAAGAAAGACAGACAAGTGGCAAAAAGGATCAAGTTAAAGATGGTCTCTTTCCAAGAGAGTAGTTGTGATTTTGTGTGTAGTCTGTGTTCTGTGATTTTACTCTACTGGACCCCGTGCAGGAGGCTGAAAGAGCGTTAAGAGAAAGACTAGGAATTCCAAGGATATCATGTTATGAGGCACAATTCCCCCAAAGTTTCTTTTTTTTTTGAGACAAAGTCTCGTTTTGTTGCCCAGGCTAGAATGAGTGCCGTGGCGTCAGCCTAGCTCACAGCAACCTCAAACTCCTGGCTCAAGCAATCCTCCTGCCTCAGCCTCCCGAGTAGCTGGGACTACAGGCATGCGCCACCACGCTTGGCTAATTTTCTCTATATATATATTAGTTGGCCAATTAATTTCTTTCTATTTATAGTATTCTATTTATAGTAGAGACGGGGTCTCGCTCTTGCTCAGGCTGGTTTCGAACTCCTGACCTCGAGCAATCCACCCGTCTTGGCCTCCCAGAGAGCTAGGATTACAGGCGTGAGCCACCGTGCCTGTCCTTCCCCCAAAGTTTCTTGAGTGGTGTCAGCAGTTAACCATGTGGTGGCAAAATGACAGGGAGGCCTTTTATGAATACGTATGGGCTGTCCAGGATGTCCACTATCATCCCACGGCATCTGAGTAAGTCCAAATCAAACAACTCTAGCGCTAGAGGGGACAGGCTAGAGTGTAATGATATCACTTTAGAAATCCTTAGTCATTTCCTCAGTGTTTGGAGTCAGGAAACTGCATGTTAAACCTAGTTTCAATTCTTACTCTGTTTATGGGCAAAATTGCTTCCTTAGCTTCAGTTTTTTCAATTAATCAATTATTAAATGAAGATGGTATCTATCTCCCAGGACTGTGTAAAGGTTTAATGCAATAAAATATGTAAAAAGCATAGCACAGAGTAACACATAATACTCAGCAAATGTTAGCTCCATCCCTTTGCTCAAGCATTACTCTCAATACTAAAGACCTTAAGATGGTCATGATGGAGACTCAGACTTTTGGGGGGAGGGGGGGAAATGGGCATTTATTGAAACCTTAAAATCTGTACCCCCATAATATGCCAAAATAAAAAAAATAAAAAAAGACCTTAAACCTGTAAAGAGAATATAATAGGAAAAAACACACAAAATTCTTACAAGTTATAGAGGTAACAGAAAGCTCTGAAAACACCTTATAATATGTAAGTTCATCAGGTCACCTGGCTAAAACTGAGTGGTAATAAAGTCAAGATTCAATGGCCATACTCCTTCATTTTTGTTCTCACAAGGGATGTTACTGTTATATTGTAGAATCATCGTTTGTTCAAAAAAGCGCCCAATTATTAAACTTGTGTTACAAACAAGGATCAGGGATTGTACAACTTAAGAGCAGAGAGAGGACTAGAACTCCTGCTACTTGAATACCAGACTCACTGAATAAAAATTCTCTCTTTAGAGAAAATAGCACCAGTATTTATGATGCAAATGTCCAAAAACTTGGCAAGGATAAAATGTTTCCACAAACTATATATACTATAAATACCATAAGGAGCTCAAAAGAATTTCAAAATGAAATTGTGAAAAGTTTGCTTCAAGTTTAATACCTTTTTTTCCTTTTAAATAACAAATTAGAATAAGCCTCTGATACCATATACACTCAAAGGATGAACAAACTTTCAAAATAACATATTTTTTCCAGTTGAGTGATTTGGTAAATAAATTTAAAAAATAAATAAATAAAATAACATATTTTTCTTTGACAAAAATCAGTAAATACATTGGCAAGCTTGCCAAAAACTCTTTTCAGCGTAACATTTTACTCAATAGATAAATATTTGTAGATAATCTGTAAATAGTATAAATACTTTTCTCAAAATGGTAAGTGAAAGCAGTTAGACACAATAGATTACAAATTGCATGATTGCATTTATATGAAATTCTAGAAAAGCAAAACTAATGATAGAAACCAAATCACTGCTGGCCAGGGCCACAAATGAGAGGAGGGGATTGATTTCACAGGTACACATGAGATGTTTTGGGGGTGAACGAAATGTTCTATATCATGATCATAATGGTAGATAGACAATTATATGTATGTTTTCAAAACTCACCAAACTTTACACTGAAAATTGGAGAATTTTATTATGTGAAAATTATACTTCAATTTTTTAAAAGGTAATACATAATAAATAAATCAGCATGCTTTTCAAAGAATCATTTCAGTCAAAGCATTTTATTTGGTAAACAAATATTTATTTGTAGAAAATCTGTAAATATAAATATTTTTTTCACAATCATAAACAGGGTTTACTTTCTGACATTTTTATAAGAAATATCTTTTAATTTTCTTCTAGAAAAGCAAGCAAAACTAAGAAGTGCTTGAAAAGTGACCATGAATGCAATTTAAGACCCTCCAAAAATGTCACATAAACTTAGTACCAATACTAATAGAGTACTAATGCAGTACTTGGTAGGCCTCTGAATGATTTTTCCAGAATGTAACAGTGCACAAGAGGTTGCAAATGTGTGTCATATCTACAAGTCGATCTTGCAAGTAAGCAGCATGGAGGAAGTGGTACTGTGGTAAACTGGAGAGCACGTGGCTCTTCCCACGTGAGCCACCACAACAAGGTCCTGCAGACTGAGGCCAGGAAAGAACACAGGCCTCAATGGAGCCAGAGCTTCTGGTGTTTAAAGAGAAGCAAAAATCTGGACTTTTATGTAAAATTTCCCAATATTTTAGAATGATGGTTCAAATTTTTTTTGTACCACAATATGGGCCAAAGAAAACACATCGATAGGCAGGATTATGACGTCTGGTCCACAGGGTATACTTTCTGAACTTTTTCAGTAGCCTAGTCTTGCCATCTTTCTGTTTACCTCTTTATTTGTAGAGAGTCTAGAATAATGTAGAATATTGGTGAAACTAAAGTAAAATTCATCTCAAAATTACGTGAAGGCTAGTCACTTCTGGACGCTTCACTGAAAAACCAACTCCTGTTTACATATCTGAGCATACTGGTTGGTAATAAAAGGAAAAATGAGTAAGAATGAAGGGAAAAGGGGTGAGGAAACACTGAGGAAGCCACCACTTTAATTAGGATAATATTAACAGTTTCCAGACTCCAGAGCAACAAAATAATCCACATGCTGAAATTTGAGAACTTCATTGCCCCAACTAGTCCAACCTGGCTGTAAATTTCGAGCAAACAATTCCAAACACTCCCCATCTGGCTTGACGTAGTCTTTTAGAACCTCTGTCCAAAAAAGACAACAAAAATTATTATTAAGAAAGGAATCAATTTCCTTTTAACAGTTAAGAGCAGAAAAGAAAGAATGTTTCATTTTAAAAAAACAAAAGACAGCAAATTCATTTCAAGGATTTCATCACAAGCTTTAACATTTATCATTAGAAAACCATTTGAAATAATGGCCCTTGGGATTGGGAACAATACCATCAGAATTTTCAGTAGTCCTGATTTATTGGTTTTTGTTTGTAGATGAGGAATGAGGACTTTAACACCCACCTAGGTGACTTTTCAGTTTTCTAATATTGCTGACATATCTCCTGAGTACTAACTTAATTCATTTTTTAATAAATATAATCCATTCATGAAAAAGAACTCTAAAGAATACAAAGACAACCCATTTAAAAAACTAAGATAAAATATGTCTCTTTGCAACACACACTTTAGTAAAAGAGTTGTAATGAAGAATAGATAGAAATATTCAGAACAAATAACTAACAGATAACTATAGCCCTCTTAGTAGTTGGTAGTACTAAGATTTCTTCATGTTCAAATTATAGATCCTGGCTGGGCACAGTTGGCTCATGCTTGTAATCCTAGCACTTTGGGACGCTGAGGCAGGAGGACTGCCTGAGGCCAAGAGTTCTAGACCAGCCTAGGCAACATAGCGAGACTCCCATCTCTATACAAAATATTTAAAAATTAGCCAGGAGTGGTGGCACAGTCCTATAGTCCCAGCTATTGGGGAGGTTGAGGTGGGAGAATCTCTGGAACCCTGGAGTTGGAGGCTGCAATGAGCTATGATTGGGCCACTGCACTCCAGCCTGGGTGACACAGCAGGATCCTTTCTCTTAAAAAAAAAAAAAATTATAGATTCTTCTTTACCTAAAATTTCACCAATTCCATAGTTAAATATTCCTTATATTCTTCAATATATTAATAACTATTAAAAATTATTTGTTGGGGAAAGGTATCTCATGTACATATTGGCTAAACAGCTGTGATTTATACCTTTAAAAGAAAGAAAAGAATACCATATACCTTTTTCTTTAAAGCACATGCTCAGCTAGATGATAAATATTTAAATCAATTTAGCATTGATCATGTTGCTGGTTAGCTATACTAACCACATACATAAATAAGAATTGGATATGAAAATAAGAATTCAAAGAAGAAACGTCACTAGAAAAGGTAAAATACAGTTCATAATTGCTATGTAAGATTGAGCTTGGAAGAAATCTATCAAAGTTCCTTTAGTAATAATAAGGGTTCCTTAGGAATACTTCATATAGATAAGATTTAAAAGGCAACATATCAAACATTTTAGGTTTCATCATGTTCTTCAACTGCTCTCATAGCAAAATATTGCATTTGTCTGAAAGCACTGGTCCTCTTTAGCAAAAAATCAAAGAAGAATTCAAAGTTTCCATTGTCTATAATTCAACTGAACTCAAATGTGGGCCTTGACAGCTTCTAGCAGATGCTGGCATGAAGATTTCTAGTCCTTTCATAAGTATATAAATTAACTACTACTAAACTTGAAAGAGATAGATTTCCCCAGAGTCTTAGAAGACAATAACCCTATATCACTTTTCCATTTTCTCCCCATGAACTTAGCCAGTCTCGGTTCACTTGTAATGTGGTCTAAGGTTATACTGAAATAACGTTTTGTTTGTTTTTGCTTAGTTTGTTCAGTTTTTTGGTACAAAGATGTTAGCAACCCTATTTTGGAACTTTAAAGTGGAGTCAGACATTCAAAATTGTTTACTCTTCTGACCACCCACTATAATCAGTGCTATGGTACTTAACCAAGGAACCAAAATATCCCTGTTCTATAAGAGTTCACAATCTAATAGAAAAAGATGGCCAGGTTCTTGGATGGAGCAGAAAAATGCATACCATCTAAAACCATTTACTACCATCCTTGCTTCTCAATGTAATACATTTTTGCATAGTTCTTTTTCTTTCTAGTTAAAAAAAGGCTAGAAATCGGCCGGGCGCGGTGGCTCACGCCTGTAATCCTAGCTCTATGGGAGGCCGAGGCGGGCGGATTGCTCGAGGTCAGGAGTTCGAAACCAGCCTGAGCAAGAGCGAGACCGTCTCTACTATAAATAGAAACAAATTAATTGGCCAACTAATATATATATATCCAAAAAATTAGCCGGGCATGGTGGCAAATGCCTGTAGTCCCAGCTACTTGCTGAGGCAGGAGGATTGCTTGAGCCAGGAGTTTGAGGTTGCTGTGAGCTAGGCTGACGCCACGGCACTCACTCTAGCCTGGGCAACAAAGCGAGACTCTGTCTCAAAAAAAAAAAAAAAAAAAGGCTAGAAATCAAGTAGTGCTTTTATAATGTTAACTATATTTGTTTTACTTAAAAATAAGGCAAAAGAAATAAAGGCAAATTAATGGAAATGTAATAGTCTTATGAATTTTAAATATCAACTTAAAAATAAATGTATAAATTTAAACATGAGTATGACATACATATACTTAGAGAGTCACATAGGCATCTGGAGCAAGTAAAACACACTTTAACCAATGGAGAAGACTCTATCTATGCACAGCCAGTCATCCCCCTTTTGCTCTGGAAGCATGGGGTGGGAGCAGGGGAGAAAGGGCCCACACATCAGTGCATGGAATCTCCTCAAATATATTTCATTCCTCAGATAGAAACGAGTAGTAGTAAAGCAGTAAGGAGTGAAAATTCCTCTAAGGTAAAATATTAAAGCCAAAATCTTGATTCAAATACTTTTATTTCATAATTTTCCTACTTTTGAACTTAATATACATTTATAATGTTAGGTTGTAAACCATAGCTATTGATGGCTTATCTTTCAATCTACATTACAAAATTTCAAACTTAAATAAAGTAAATGTACCATTTTTAAATGGAATATGCTACCAATGTGGTCTCTTTTTTAACATTTTGCAAAAGAAATAACATTAAACTAAAATTTTAAAAGAAAAGATCTGGGTGTTTCTAGATGCAAAAGGGAAAAATTTCATTTTATGGATTTGCATAAAACAGTTTGAGAACATTTAGTTTTTATTTATTTTTTATTTATTTTATTTCAGCATATTATGGGGGTACAAATGTTAAGGTTACATATACTGCCCATGCACCCCCTCCCCCCTTGAGTCAGAGCTTCAAGCGTGTCCATCCCAGTGTAAGAACATTTAAATGTAAATTTTCTTAAACATTTGTTTTTAAGAACACAATTTGTTTTTTTAATGTCCTATATATCCTTATATATATAGGATCCCTAAAGGTATGACTTCAAAGTATAATATACCACAGAAATCTGCTTTCTGATGGCTTTCATTGGCATTGCTCTATATCCAAAATATACATAGTAACATGAACTCAAAAATAAAGTATTACAAATATTTCCTATCACTACTTAACCAAAACATAAGGATTATAGAGTCATTCAGACTTTTCCCCCAAAATCTAACTTTTGTTTTTAAACGTTCTCAGTCCTAAAAATGTATCTGTGCTGCTCTCTACTGGGAATGTTGCAGAACTGCATGTCAAAGATACCCACTGTAACACTTTACAGCAAGACTAATTTTTACTCACTATTTTAAACCCTTTCTCCTGAGACTAATCTTTAAACATAATTTTATTCTATTTAAAAGTGATTTATAAATAGTTAACTATCATTTGAGAATGAAAAGTTTAAGGTCTTAGCTTTTTGATTTTTTAATTAAAATAAGGCCTGAGACAGATACTAAATTTAGCTTTGTTACTCACCAAATGATAAAGAAAATTCAAATAAGAGGAATACATATACAATCAGGTATAACTAGTGCTAAACATAATTTTTTTCCTCAAACAACAGTGCAATCTCACTTTTCATTTAAGTCATATGTTGATGCATTAAAGTCTATGTCAGTCCAAAGTGTAAAGGTTATGAAATGTAAAGATTACTGACTGAGAATTCCTCTAAGTCAAAGAACAAATCATAAGGTATACACTTGAGAAACTGTACATTTCTCAAATGAAGCAATACTATAAAGACCCTTCTGCATAAGCAATTAAGATAACAGAAAACCTGAATGCTAGAAATAAAAATTCTCTTAGGAATTTGTGTTCACTTTCCTATATATCTTAGCTCATGAACTATCCCATATTCTGCAAAATAACATAAGCTGTCTATAGTTTCTCTGAGTGGCAGCTTGAAGGAGTTTTGGTGTTCTTTTTTTCTTAAAAAAGCAGGAATTACCAAATTAGTAAAATATGTATTACTAAAGAAATTCTTTGAAAAGTTAACTTTGAATATCAAATTCTCAAGCACTTACATTCCCATGTTTTTAAACTGTGATTTGAAAAATTTAGCATTTACTAAACTGCTACTACATGCTACAGAATTTTAAATATAACTAATTTTCACAACTCTTGAAGATTAAATATCATTATTCCTTCTTTAAATGAGGACTTTGAGGTAGAAAAAGATTCAAGTAACTTGGGATTCAAACTCACGTTAGTCAATTTCCAAAGCCAATTCTCCACTATCCCTTGCTGCTTAGTTTCATTGAATGATAAATGTTATGCTAAGGCATTAAAACTGGTGAGAATTGTAGGCTGCAGCAATCACCTATCAATGTTTCAGAAAAACAACACTACCTCTTAAAAAACATAAGAATTCCCTTTACCTCTACCAAATAACAAGGGAATTCTAACCATTTCTCTGACTACTATTCTGAGCTCCTGGTTTTAGAACAAGCAAGAGATTTACTGCTCTAGTAGTAAACTAAAGCCCCTAGCTGAACTACACTCTCAGATGCCCCAAAAGCATTCATTCTGCAAGGCTAGTAATGGGGAAGCAACCAACAATAAGGGAAATCTGCAAAATGGTGTAACAGGAAAAGCTGGGGTAACATAAAACCAATCCATTTTCTATTTCATAAATTCTCTATAAATTCTACTATAAAATTTTAGAGCATGAATTAAAACAACACACATCTGATTCAATTTCCAAATCTGTAGACCATTCAAATACTAAACTCAATCCTTTTTCAATTTTGACAAAAGTGATAACTATTCTATTTTATAAAAACATACCAGCAAGCGGTGGCTTATGTGAGTGAAGAATACAGGGCACACTGACAATTAATTTGTGGTCTGGAATGGGGAGCACTTTTATATCTGCATTCCTATTTAAAACAGAACAAGAAGGTAAACCACATTTTAAAACATAACTTTTTATATTAAAATATATGGTACAGGTACATTGATTTTTTTCTCCTTCAAATTGTATCTGATTTTAAAGCAAATTTAAGAATAGAATCAATGAAGGAAATCAACAGTTTAAATATTGAGACATTTCCTATCATTTGCTCTTTTATAATAATGACAATTACACACTAGATAAAACAAAAGATAATATAAAATTTCATATACCATACTATTCATTATTTTCTGCTCTGGGCCACTTTCAGATTTTCAAAATTATAAAAATTAAGGGAAATCAATAATTATTATGCGAATGATTTTTAAAAGTCTAAAATTAATATATTTATACAATTTTGAAAAATCACCTTTCCTACCTTAATGGTAAAGCAGTTTTTTCTTGAACTCTCCCCAATATAAGACCTTCATAAGGCTTTTTGTGTGGAGAATCTAATGGGAACACAAACTCTCCTGAATTGGTGATCTGATAGGAAGGAGCCAACAAAAAAGGGTTATTTTTCCCCATCACTGTACAGTTTCCACACACACACAAAAAGAAATTAAACCCCCAGGCTAGTGCTATCCAATAAAAATATAATGTGAGCCACACATGTAATTTTAAATTTTCTAGTAAAATCATTAAAAAAAAAGGAAAAAGAATGCAGTGAAATTAACTTTAATTATAAATTTAATTTAATCTAACATATCCAAAATACTATAATTTCAATATGTAATCAATTTAAAAAAGTTATTGAGACATGTTACATTCTTTCTTTTGTACTCTGTCTGAAGTCCAATGTGTACTTTATACTTAACAGCACATCTCAATTTGGGCTAGCAACACTTAAAGTGCTGAAGAGTCACATGTGGCTACCATATTGCACAATGTTTCCATAAGAGCTTAAAAAATACATTATATAAATATTTCAAATATAACTATTTCATCTTACACATATACAATCTCTACTTTTCATTAAAATTTAGTCCTGGTAACCACGTCAACAGTAATGAATTTATTAATTCATTCAAATGACATTTACTGATTATTAGCAACATAACTAAGTATTAATAGATCATAAAAATGCACTTTCCTTTCGTTATAGGAAATTATACCATTAAATACCATCAAAGCTAAAGTTAATAAGGAAAGAAGCTGGGTGGTTGGTAAGATAGACAATACCTAGTACAGAGACTAGCACTTGACATTATATTTAATAAATTCAGAAATTCAATTTTATTATATCATTTCACCCTGGGATGCCCATATTCTCAAAGACTCATTTAAACTAATCAAACCCAAAACATAATTTATAACATCACTTCATTAATTTACCATGGGGATATATATTTTCACTGTCACAATACTCATACCTAGTATCTATGGAAACTTTGCCCTATACCAATGCTCCTAAACAACCAAATCAGTAATCAGAAAGTCCTTTATCTCCTCTAGGGCCAATCAGACACAGCATCTCTTACACATAGCGCTGTAAAAATACCAGCAAATTCTTATTCTTTGCATAGCCTTTATATGCCATGCAGATTACTCTTCCTGTTATAACAATGTATGTAATTACATAATAAATGCTTCATTTAATATATTATTGTTTTAAACTCTGTCTTATCATACCATCTCTCTTAGAACTGATTACTAAGATGAATAGTCTTAGTTTTCATGCATTAACATTTTACTGGTTTTGATTTCAGAAGGTAACATCTTCTTTGGCCCCAGTCTCTGACTGTAAAAGAACTACCATAATAGGTAAGATGGAATGGGTTATGTTCCTGCCATGGCCCTATAACAAATCAACCAAAGCTAAAACCAAAGTATATCATGAAAATGAAGATATATCTAAATATGTGTTTGTCAAGTCTCATAAAATAGGTAAAAATAAACGATATACAGTATTTCCTTCCTTATCCACAGTTTTACTTTCTGCAGTGTCAGTTATCCACGGTAGACCATGGTCTGAAAATTGGTGAGTACAGTACAATAAGATATTTTAAAGGAGAGTGAAACTACATTCACATAACTTTCACTATAGTATATTGTTATAATTGTTCTATTTTATTATTAGTTATTGCTGCTAATCCCTTCTGTGCCTAAGTAATAAATTAAACTTTCTCAAAGGTATATCTGTATAGGAAAAAACATAGTATATACAGGGTTTGGTGGTTTGGTACTTTGGTACTATCCTATAATTATAGATGCATCTATATCCTGTAGATGCAGCATCAGGTATCCACAGGGGATCTTGGAATGTACCCCCCATGGATAAGGGGGACTACTGTACACAGCTTTTAGAAAATATTCCAGGAGACTAAAAAGTATAAACAAAGACCATACTCTACTGTGTCTAAAATGAATGTGCCAGCTATGTAAATACTAAGTACCAAAATGATAGCCTGGTTTATCTTTTTAGAATTCAAGAGGGCTTTTGTAGAATTCATCTAAATAGACAATGTATCTTTAAAAGGAAGCCAAATGAACTCAGAACAGATACCTTATTTTTCTGTATTTTTTGGTATTCTTATAACATACAGAGGTATTAAAGATCATTCAACCAACCCTAGAGTTGGGATCATTTCTTACAAAACTAGGCCCAGCAGCATAGAAGGCATTGAGGACCGAAGTTAAGATTTAGAACATAAAAGGGTTTTGGTTCTGGCATCTTCCCACTGCTCTAAAATGGGTTACTTCGCTATTCTCTGCCCTCATCCCCAGCAAAACAAGAAAAAGAAGGAAAGAAGTCACAAAGGGTCACTGAAATTGTGGTATATAGTGGGGAAGAAGACAAAGGGTGAGACTATTTCTATGTTCAGTAATTTGAATAGAATCACAAAAGTTTTTGTTTGTTGTTTTTTAAACAACAGACAGCAGAGCTTTTTAAAATTTCATCCTGATATCTCCCTGACTTATTTCCCAAGGCCAGCAGTTTGGGACCCTACTACAAAAAGATACACACACAAAAAAAAAAAAAAAATAGGTAAAAAGCCTTGAGAATAAGAAGATAAAAGTGTTTAGCAGCAAAGCAAAAGTTTGGATTCGCTCATGTTGAAGTAGTAGAGCGATGACATGTTGAGCATTAAAAAGTAGATGCTACCTTTATGTGACTTACATGTCATGCTATATTAACAAATAAGCTAACTTCTGACTTACTTTTACCCAGTGCCATTCAGCAACTATCTCCACAGACCAAGAAGGATAAAGGTCTTCTTTTATAAAACGTAGGTGCTTCTGTCTGTTGGTCACCCAAGTAACAATAAGACAGTTTGGAGCAGCCAGTTTAGGAATGGGTATTTGCTTTATTTGCAGTGGTGATAAATAACTGTACCTAAAAATAAACAGAAAAAAATATGAGCAAAATTCACTTAAAAATAAGCAGGGAGAAGACCTGTATAACATTCACCACAAATACAAAGCTCCTATAGTCAGGCATGTGTGTAGCTAAATATGAAGCCACAGTGACACTCAGTGGACACATTATTACACACAAGTCAGAAATAACTTCATTTTTCTTTTACTACTATAAAATCAGCAGGCTGTATTTTTTTTAATCACTTCCAAATGCATTACATTTCAGGAATTTTACTGTTTACAATATGTTTTTCTCCCATTCAAAGCAAGCAAATATTGCTGAGGCAGGAAGATCACTTGAGCCCAGGAGTTTGAGGCTACAGTAACCTATGATGACACCACTGTGCTCTAGCCCAGGCAACAGAGCTAGACCCTGTCTCCACCTTCAAAACACAATCTATATAATGTGCATACCTCAACTATTCACCTAAACAATTACAACCGTGTTCGTACCACTTCAACGATCCACTTCAATGCCATAACCTGTCTTTGTCATCATTCACATTTGCTCCCTCTCTGAAACCATAAACATCAATCTCTGACCATAACCTATTATGCCTCACCTGGTTTTTGACCTTATCAAAGCATCCAGAGCCTCATCCCTCCACTTTCCTGAGTCTATCAGTTTCTTCCTGATCACATTTATTCCTCTTCCCCATAGACTACCAATCACTACGCTGTCTTCTCAAGAGCACCCCTCAACTCCCATCCCCCTTTACCCTTCAGCATCACAGTTCTTGCAAACCTCCAATCTTAAATCAATATCACAATTTAATTCAATGTCTTCATATGGGGAAATCAGATGGAGAAAATGCAGAACAAAAGAATTGGGTCACTGAAAGTTTATTAAATCCATTCTCAGGCTTTCAAAACTACTCATCATCATCCCAGGGATGCAGGGATGGTTCAACATACGTAAATCTATAAATGCAATTCACCACATAAACAGAAGCAAAAACAAAGACCACATGATTCTTTCAATAGATGCAGAAAAAGCTTTTGACAAAATTCAACACCCTTTCATGATACGAACACTTAAGAAAATAGGCATAGAAGGGACATACCTAAAAATGATACAAGCCATATATGACAGACCCA